ATATACTGATTGTTTTAGTTTTACGAATCGCCGAGGTTCACACTGACTACTCAGTTTCAGCCGATTTATATTGTGTTATTTCAGAGTGGATTTCCAGTCATATTTATAGATTTGCCAATGTTTATACAAATACTCATCAACGAACGTGCGATTTCAGACGAGTTCTTCAAACCAAAGTGCAAACTCGTACAGTATCATCATTATATATTATTGAATCCGGCAGACATAAAGGTAATTTGAAGGAAAACAGGCTATGTAATCTCCATGAATGCAATGAAATAGAGGATGAGAAACATTACATTTTATATTTTAATAATTGTCAAATCAAAGAACATAGATCTGGATTCCTTGCAGCCCTAAATGCCCCAAAGTTTGAAGATTTTAGCATGGATATCTTATTGTTTCAAGAAATGATTCTTTCATTCTTAGCATTTTTGCAAAATTTATTTTCTATATTCTTGATATGTTTTAGTAAGTTTTGTTGTCCTGAATGTTGTTTTGTTATTTTTAGACATTGCTCAAGATTTCATTGGTACGTTCAAAATACAATTTATCTTATCTATATTTAAAGAGCGGTGGTCGTCGCGCCGCGTCCTAATCGATATGGGACTCGTAGTGACGTAGGCAACGCATGTAAAATACATTGTTTATTTACAAGAACTTGGAACACGAGGTGACGACTCCCCCGCTTTAAATATATACTGTAAAATATTTTAGTTGGAATTAATTTTCGCTGGAAAGGTTTATTTTCATTGGTTTTTGATGAGTTGAGTGTAAAATATATGAATAAAGGTATAATCACAGGATTTTATTTTCGCTGAATCATCCCTCAGCGAAAATAGCGAAAGTAAAAGTAAAAGTAAAATAAAGTATTTTACAGTAGGGGTAAACAAAGTGCCGGCTCGAAACCATTCATAGTCTGAAAGCGTGACCTCAATTCTATCACAAAAGTTTGCGCAGGTATTGTTGTGAGAATGCTTTTCTGATGCGTCTTCAGGTCATTTTAACTGTTGAA